GCTTGACGTGGTATTGTGAATCTATTCCTGCGAATCTCATGAACTTCTCCAAAAGTGCAAAAAGGAAGGAATCCTCATTTCAATTGTCCGGGGGGGTGGGGGGAACGTCCACTCGAGTACCGCAGTTTAGCCATTACGAGGACTATCTCGATCCTACAAGGAGGACAGATCTTGAGGAAGAAAAAAAGAAGAAAAAAATTAACCAACCCGAGTGGCCAGTGGTGGTGCAAAAGTGGTTTCATGAAAGGTAGTGTCCGCGGGAAGTCCAATGGAGATACGGAGGTACAGCGTATAAGTTTTGTCAATTCCGCTAGCAAGGGTGCGCTGCTAGCCGGGGGATCAGTTGAGAAAATGGGGTATAGTGGCTTGGAAACAGTTTCAGGTTGCAACCTAAATGGAGGCCATCTACTCGGATGGCCGAGTTGCTGTTGGACACCTAAGGTGACAATTCCCATACAAAGTGTCCAACAGCAACTCGGGTGTGCTAGTAAGTATAAGCAGGAACGTTCTATTACTGTAGTCTCAATTTATTCTGTTTGTATATATCTAATATTTTGTAAAGAGACCATTTGCCTCAATAACTGCTTGACATCTGACCGGCATGCTTTCTATCAACTCTTTAAATTCATACTGTCCTACAGCTCCCCAAGCTTCCTTGACTGCATCCCGTAATCTATCATATGTCATATTTTCTGGAAAATTATCTTGTAAATAATTTTTCATAATATGCCATACTTTTTCAATAGGATTTAAGTCAGGGGAGAAAGGAGGCCAAAAAATAACTTCAATACCTCTCTCCTGAAGCTCAGTAGCTGTATTTCCTGCAGCATGTCCGGGAGCACCATCTTGCATAAGCCTTAAATAAATCCCATCCCGGCGACACAATTCTATATACCCATGAATAATGGGAACAGTATGTGCACAATAGCTTTCTGAATTAATTGATCCCCAATCCTTTTCCCAAAATATTCCAGGACCTTGGATCTCACCATGAAAACAGCCCCAAAACATCCATCCCCGCTTTCTCTGATGTTTTTCTACTATACACGTTGGATCCCACTCCTCTCCAGCCTTTCTTGTAACCCAAGTTCTAGTATGTCTCCCTCCCGTAATCCAGGTCTCATCTGTCCACAAGATAGAATTCCATTCTTCTTGTGTCCAGTTTGTATGCTCAAGAGCCCACCGAAGTCTTATCACGCGGTTCCGTTCTGAGATCGGGGGCTTTCTCATTGCAAGACGTCTGTGATACCCTTCTCTCATCAATGCTGCTCGAATTGCTGTTTTTCCAACACCAAAATCTAGTTCTGCTGCCAGTTGCTCATAGGAAAGACGTCAGTTCCTAGCAGACATACAAACATAAGCCACAAGGTCTTCGATTTGTGCTTGTGTAAGTATAGGAGGACGACCAGATCTCTTTTTAGGAGTTGCAGGACATTCAGAAGCACATGCATATCTAATCTGCCGGAGAGAGAATCCGGTTTGTTGTTGGATTTGTGCATACTTCCATCCAATCGACCGTAATAGTTGACAGTCTCGCCGCTGATCTCGGGTCAAATGAGAAGTCTTTCTACTCTGTGGACCAGCCGGTCCTAGAGGAGGTGGCAGTACTGATGGAGGTGATTGTGAAGGCTGCTCCGGGGAAGGCAGTGGTGGAGGCACTACCGGGGGGGACAGTAGAGGAGGCACTCCCAAGGAAGATAGTAGCAGAGGCAGTGGCTGTGGCTGAGGCAGTGGTGGTCTCAGAGGCAGTGGCAGAGGCAACAGAAGAGGTAGCCCA